GTGTGCAAAATAAATAATTTTTATCATAGAAAAGTTCATTGAATAGAATCAAATAAATTTGGATACCAACAATATTTCGTTTAACGGAAAATTCGCTTWTGGAAATTTGACTTTAAAGGATTTTACATTAATCCTCCAAAATTGTTATATATTTAATTTATTAATTTATTTAAAAAAAAAAAAAAAATTAGGTGGAGATAAAAGGACTTACTGGGCCGATACAGTTCAAAAATGGCCAAAGAACAGACTTTAAATTAGATTTAATGAAACTCAAACAACATGCGTTGGCAAAAGTTGGAGAGTGGACACCTGGACTTGGCGTAAACATCACAGATATGTCTGCTTTTCACGACACAGCTCCTTACAATATTACACTTGTAGTTGTAACAATTGTGGTAATTATTACGAAATATTTTATTTTCAAAATGTAATTTACTATATCATTATAATTATAATGAATATAAAATACACAATTATTTAATATTTAATAAATATTATGTTAGTCAAAACTTAAAAGTTTTATTYAAACATTCGTAATGTGTAAGACTAGCACTTTCGTAWAATAGTACAAGTATTTAAATAATTCAAAATTATTCTAATGGTACTTATTGTTTTTACGAAAAAAACATTTTGAGACCGAAAAAATTTATTTTTATCTTAGTAAAATATTGTTYTTTGATAAAAAAAAAATCAAAATAATAATAATTTAAACCCAAGCTACCAACACTATGAAAAATATTTATAAACTGGCTAGAACTATATTATATTCAAGTATAATTAGGTAACACCCACTCGTCTTAAAATATTCCCATTAATAACACTCATCACGTCATAAATATAATATTATACCTTAAGTATGAATTAGCTTATTTTTTTTAAATAGCATAACTAAAAAAAATCAAATAGAAATTTTTAGTTTAATTAATTAAAAATTTAATATACATATTTGAAATAATTGTTACCTATCGGCTATCAAATTATTAAAATTAATTTTTATACGTAAATATGAGTAATGGTATGTTTATTTTTTATGTTTTGAAAATTTAACTTAAAGTTAGGTGTCGTCATTTTTGTTTGTAACAACTTTAAATATATGTTAATATTATGTAAATAGTACAAACCTTTTTGTAATCAAAATGGAAAATTATTAGAGGTTGATAAATTAAATTTGAAAACTATTATACTTACAGTATAATTTTGTCGTGTATATTGTAAAAGAACACGCATTTACTATACATTAATGTTTACAAGTTTCAATTTAAAGTTGTGTTCATTCTGAACAACGTATTCGATTATTTCCATTGAAAAAAAAAAATGATTACAGCTAAAACCCAATATTATTTACTTTATATACAAAAAAATTTCAAAGATTAAAATATCTCTACATGAATACAGACATAAATTATTTCTTTCGTGAAAGTATCATTTCGAAATGTTCATTATTTTCAGTCAGTATTGAACCAAAGTTGAATTCATTTTTGATTTCTAATACTTGAAGCTTTGGCGTTTTCTCATTCTTTATTATTATTTTTTTTTTTTACCCGAAATCGTCTATCGACCTAAACACACGGGTGCTCTACAATATTTAATTAATATTGATAATATTCTTTAATGCGTRCTTAAGATTTTGAATAAGACATGGTATCATAAATTTTAATTCACTCTAAAATTATTTATAGCTGTTGTTAACAACATAGAGTGTAATTATTCAAATAAACGTTCACATTACACTAACGTAGTCAAATAAAAGTAATAAAAAATAATAGGATTAAAAAAAAAAAAACAGTGAAATGAGAATTCCAGATAATATTTGAGAATGGAATTACCACGGTTTGGCAGATGTCATATTAACACATCGTGATGAACGGTGAAATAAACACGAAATATAATGCATTAGGTGCAGTTTAGATKACCATATTTTTTAGAAATTTTCCTCAGAATATAACATAATTTTTATGTTATGTACGACGACTGTAATTCCGTTTTTGATAATCGCCACAGTTTTTGAAGTGAGCTCTATATTCAACGCTTAAATCATGAGATTAAAAACACTAWAGCTATTCAATATTATCACGTAACCCGTTGGATGGACATAATACGAATTTACATTCGAAATCATCTAATTTTTAGAGTATCATATTAATATGTGTACTGTATACCATGATTCTCGACACCATCTGAAAACCGATTGATATTTAAGATCACCCCGACATATATACATACCAGTAACTAGGTTAAACGGAAAGCTCAACATCGATGTAGCAAAATTTTTAAATTTATATTAAATATTTAAATATTAAGTATTGTAATTCATATACTATTTACTTAGTGCAATTATAGACACTTAGGAGATAATGCTAATTAAACTAATATACTGGGAAAAACTGAATTATAATTCATGTTCATTTTCTTATAGTGACCATTACATTTAATTAAAACAAGCTAATAGACTAAAATATAATATACTAATAATGTGATATATATATCACCTTCTATATCTGTGATTCTCAAGCTTTTTTTGGTTCTCGGCACTCACAAGTTTTGGCGGCAACATACATTTAATGAAATAAAGTACTGTTTTCAATATTTTTTACTAGCATAATTACAAGTATCAAACATTTCTGGCAGCACACCTAATCGATCTCGCGGCACTGTAGTGTATGAATAAAAACGARCTTTCTTTGTTTCTGCACGGGCCCTTTCAATTACAACATTTAGATTCTATTATGCTAATGAACTCTCGAATATTAGCTTTCAATACGTAAGATACATTTGCAAGTAGTAAAAATAAAAAATACAATATTTTGCAAATAACATAATACAAATTAGGTACTTATATATGCATGAAAAATTGATATTCAACAAGAATCTAGACTTTAAATTAATTTATTATATACCTTTGAAGTATTTTGAAACTAACTAAAACCAATTCAAAAGTACGTAAATACATAATTTACTGAAAAGTGACAAGGACTTGTTGATTAATCTTGTAATATATGTAACTGTAGATTAGATACATAAGTTAACTATAAACATTGATTATTCGTGTAATAAATTATGTGCAATAGTGTTTTATAAATRCATATAACTAATAAGATATTTATTTTATACTTTTACTCTAGGAATTTCCCTATGTCATGATGCATCTAGAAAAAAATTACACGGGGAACGCAAGATTTTATGGGTTTTGTGTCGATTTGTTAGAAATTATTGCTAAACAAGTTGGATTTGATTATATYTTGGATTTAGTACCTGACAATAAGTACGGTGCTCAGGATCCAGTAACATTAGAATGGAATGGTATAGTGGAACAACTCATAAAGCATGTATGTTTCTTATCACATTATTACTTATACATATTATAGTTATTTAATTATCCTTGTGTATAAGTATAATATATATTTTTCACAAAGCTATCACAACTCAGTATGCATTTTATACTATTTTCAGGATAGTTTATATTATAATATACACGCTTAAAATCATATTACATTATTATATCCAATATAATATTGTGATTTGTATTAAATACAATATTATTTACGGGGGACGAGGTGGCCGAGTGGTCTGCCGCGTCAGCTGTGGCTCAGCCGGACAGGGTTCGATCCTCGACCATCGGGCGGCATTTTTCTCCGGGCAAGTCACGGTGTCCGGAGAACAAGTGCCGCCATCCCCCACCCTGGGGCATGGCAGAAATCTACGGGTGCCCCAATAGAAATTCTGCCAAAACTCTCACCCACGTGTAAAACCAACCTACAGTTCCATAAGAACCTACAGTACTACCCCCTTCCCAATGGCCTTAGTTGCCGCGGCATAATTTTAAAAAAAAATTATTTACATGCCAATGAACTAGGTGCATATATAATAATCAAATCACTTTGCATTACTATAATATAGTAATAATATAATTATTTCATTTAAATATTATAATAACAYCGATATTTTTTTTCGTTATATTTATGTGTAATGTATATAAATGAGTGTAAACGATATTACGAAATATTACCTAACCTCAAGCACATTGTATAAATAAAAATATCATTTTAATGTAATACTTCAATTTAGTTTACTACCTAGCCTAAGAATTAGTAACTACCTWAATTCCTAACTATAATGGATCTATTAACAGGAAAAATAAATTTTATCGGATTTAATGTTTTCATTTGTAAGTCCTCCATTCATGTTTTTTTTTCCTTAGAAAGCAGACTTGGCTGTTGGATCAATGACCATTAACTACGTCAGAGAAAGTGTTATTGACTTCACTAAGCCGTTTATGAACTTGGGGATCAGTATATTATATAAGGTAGATCATATTATAATGTTATAATTGTACACATTGTGTACCTATTTTAATTCAAATACATAATTTCATTTAAAATTAATGTAATTATATAGATATATCGGTGAAATAATATAATAAGTGTAAATATGATGTTGATTAATAAAATCTGTGAATTTCTAACGYTTATTTGTCATTCTGACTTAACATGATGCACTTGAATAACAATATTTGGTATTTGATAAATAAATAAATAAAAATTAAACTTTGATCCATAGTAATTTTAAATATTTTTATTTAAGTCATGTTATAAATAAATACATTTCTTAAGTAATAAAATATATATATATATATATATATATATTGTTAAAACATTATATTGAATTAAACATTATTCCTTTGAAAGTTTATAATTGTTTTAACCTTAAATGAATATAATATAGGCTTTACAAACTTTAAACTATAAATGTGATGAGTTGATTAAAACTATCACCTAGTTAATTTTAATTGTAAAATCTTTTATGTAGATTGTTAAAGTTTCACTCTTAAATATAAACAATTTCTAAAACTTTATTTTGTATGCAACTCTTCTGYGAAAAACTTACATAACTTATTTTTAATACTGTTGGATAAATTATGACTTTCTAAAACACATTTATTCTCAATACTCATAAGATACGCAATTAATATAAATTGTGATTGATATATTTTTACAATTATTAATATCGTTGTTCTGTTCATAAGTCACGAAGTTCCATGTTCAATAGGTCCCCAGCAATCAACCAGCTCAATTTTTTTCATTCATGAACCCTCTGGCACTGGAGGTATGGATCTACTGGTTAATAGCATACGTGGTCGTGTCAGTTACACTGTACATTGTTGCCAAATTTTCACCGTACGAATGGGAGGACCAAACTTCCGGAAAGCTATTCAGCAGCCCCAATCTAGCAACAAATGTGCCTCAAATCAACAGGTTCACTCTTTCTAACAGTTTTTGGTTCACCATTGGTTCACTCATGCAACAAGGTTCAGACATAAGTCCAAAGGTTTGGTTTATTTAGTTTAAAGTTTAAAATATTTTACTATTACATTTTTTTACGAAATGTTGTTAATTTATCATCGTTTACGAACATGCAGTGGAATTCTCGTGATTTTTAATTGACGGATACCTATATAATAATCGATTGCGATATTTGACGCAGGAACATACGAGTAGCTTCCAACCTCCTCCAKAATTACAATTGAACTATTGYTATTTTTAGTTTGTCTCATAAAATATGAAATGTAATTTGTAMGAGTAAGTTTATAAAATTTTCTTGATTTTTGAAACATGTCATTTATAATTTATTACATTTATTCATGATAAATGACCACTTTCCTATGAATGGCTGACAATAATTTTTAATAATAAAAACCTATTCCAATCGTAATAGGTACTTACCATTTTATTGTAAAAATTGATGGTATTAAACGTAATTGATTAGTACTGTTACTATCATAAAATATAGTTCAATTTTAAAAAGGGTGATTAATTTCTAATAAATTAATATAATTTATCTTAATCACTTTAAATTATAAAAATACATACATAACATGAATGATACGCGTTTTAATAATGTTTTTCAAATAATTAATCTCCGAAATATTGCTAACGATATTTTTAGGCAATTTCTACGAAAATAATTGGATGTGTTTGGTGGTCCTTCACATTGATTATAGTGTCTTCATACACGGCAAATTTGGCTGCTTTTTTGACAGTGGAGAGAATGGTTAGCCCGATTGAAAATGCTGAAGACCTTGCTGCACAAACAAATATTGCATATGGTACATTGGACAGTGGTACTACAATGACATTTTTTAGGGTAATGTTATACCTACTATTTAAACCAGCCTATCATAGTTCTAAATATGTAGTAATATATTATGTTTTTTTTTATTAATTTGTTTCTTATGACTGTTTTATAAAATTTGCAAACTTTTTAACGCGGACAACAATGTGTTATCAACATTTATAGAATATTTTAAATGCCTATAAATAGCATAAAAAAATATTTTAAATCATATCATATCTAAAAATATATAAATTAGTATTTGATTCGATATTCAACTCTTTACGCTGTAGATGAGTTATTAATTTTAGAAACACAACTACATAAAAACCAAAATGATTTTTTCAAAAACCTGTTTTTATGGTCCTTAATTTTTCTAATTATTTTTAAGTATGTAACGCATAAGTAATTGTTCACTTTTGATCAATTCAAATTATCAGCTAAAATCCAAACTCAAAGATGGATATTGGATAACTTTTACAGCACCAAAAAGTAATGACCGACAAAAGAAACAATATCATCGCTGCTTTCAGAATCTAAAATTGTATATTTTATGATTAGATATTAATCATATACGTTTGGAATTTATATACTTATTTTCGTAGTTGGAATAAATTTAAAGTACCTATATTTTAATTCGAAAATAATGTTAATATTTATTTAATTTTCATATAATCTTATTTCGTAAGTAGGTACTAAATATTTTCCGGTTTTTTTTTTACTGTCAACCATCGTGTATCGTGGTATTACACCACCTATTATAATATGACTATAAATAAGTAATAACATGAAACGGATCGTTTTATCATATTAGAACACTTGAATGTACTGATAATTTAATTATATTTTTAAAAGACATCTGATTTATTGTCATTGTCATAGGACTCCATGATTGAAACGTACAAGAAAATGTGGGCGTACATGCAGAAGAAGAAACCGTCAGTGTTCGTGACTTCGTATGACGAAGGTATTGAGAGGGTTCTGCAAGGTAACTTTGCGTTTCTAATGGAATCCACGATGCTCGACTACGTTGTGCAGAGGAACTGTAACCTGACCCAAATAAATGGATTGCTGGACTCCAAAGGATATGGAATAGCCACACCTATGGGTTGGTCTTGATTAAATTTACTAGTGTTGGGTAAATAATATTTAAACGCAAGCGTAATATTATTATGCGTGAATTTATTTCATCAGGGTCACCGTGGAAAGACCAGATATCCTTGTCGATTCTCGATCTGCAAGAAAAAGGTGAAATACAAATGCTTTACAACAAATGGTGGAAGCCACCGAACGACATGTGCGTACCAGAAGGGTCCGGGGCCGGGGCTAAGACAAACACTCTGGATTTCAAAAATATATGTAAATACCTACACGATACATTTGTCACATCTTGGTGATAATATTACCTTATATTACAATATAGTTCCTATGTATATACCACATATCTGTACGTTTGTTTAGGTGGAGTGTTCGCCGTACTTCTGGTAGGACTTATCATATCGATTATGGTATCGATGTTTGAATTCTATCACTACAGGAAGAAAATAAAACAAATCGAACAGGTTGGTAAAATATATTAATTGTTTTTAAGTCTTTTAAAGTCTAATAGTCTCTTATAGCAGCTTTAATCGATGCTTCTAAAATCCTACATTACACTTACAATTTAAAAAAAAGCTAAGCAAAATAAGCCTATATAGATCATGATCATTATTAATTAGATTGATGGGTGAATTTCACAAATTTGGACGAAAATTATCATGTACCTATTATCATTAATTTAATAGGTAAGTACATAATATTATAAACCTTTCAATAAAAACGGAAATAAGAAGAATCCGAGTAAAAAAAAAATACGAAATTGTTGGACTAATTTAGTTTTCTATTTAATTCATTTTAAATCATTTACACAAGATAACATTTTTTCTATATGGTGAATGTATTTGAATGAGGAACAAATCCAATCTTGAGTGTGTAATCTCCCTGTAATTTTAAAATATGTAAATATTTGTGTATGAGCGATAAATTCGTGAACAATGGCTGTGCGATCTCCCTAAAATATATATGAGAAAATCAATGCCCTTTAAGCAGGATATTTTCCTCCAGGACAGAGTCAGTGTGTAATTAYCACAGTGAAAAAAAACAAATGTACTTTAAACAGTTTAAACCTATAAATATATACCACTTATAGAGATAGTTTTTGAATAACTAAAATTAAAAATGRGTACACCGTTCATTTTTCATTAACTTTTTATAATTTTTTGATWCATATTTTCACGTTAAAGTAAATTTATGCAATAGGTACCTAATCAAAACATTTTAAATGTATTTCGAAGTAAAATTTGTATTCCTCAAATAACGACGCACATAAAGTTTTGTGTTAATCTATTACTTTTGTTAAGGAAAAATATAAATTGGTGTAAATAAAGCTTCATTGTGAAATATCCATGGTAATATCAGCTGTAAAATTAAAATATAATGCGGTTTAAAGTAAATAATTTTACTTAACACGTGGTACTATAATCTCTTTGCTGTACTTGTCATGAGTAATTAAATGTTATTTTTTAAATTTCCAACAGCAAAAACTTTTAAAGATATRTCAACTTACATTTGTGTATTTTATATTTATAAGGTTGTCATAATATAGCATAATACTTGATAATAAACATAAGTTACAAAAATAACTTTTAGAGTTTGCTGAAATCACTGAATAACTGATTACTTAAAGAGTTATTACGTTTTATACAAATATTGATGATTGTGATATGGAGCACTGAGTTGTATTCAATACAAGAAACTATTAGGATAATGATTATTGATTACTATTAAGTATAAATGTAAGTTTTTTCTGTGTTATGTAAGTCCAGGACTTGAAATATTTTCATTAGCTTAATTGAAATAAATTATGATGGTTATGATATATACGAATGACATCTTATATTCCTATTCCATAATACCAATATTTTTAATATAAACCGTACAATTATTATTTTTGTATTTAGTTAGTTAATTTAATTTCCAGTGATCAAACTATTAAAAAAATTAAGCCTTAAATGGCCCATTTGAAATTAATTTATGTCGTTTATGTTAGAATGTGAAGTAACGTAAACAGCATGAAGAGGTCTGTAAGAGTGTCAAATGAGCTGCTAAGAATAGAACAAATAAAAGTACAATGAAACCTCCTCTAACTAACTCCTCCAAATAGTGAACACCTTCACTATCACACATTTTTTTAGAATAAAGTACAAACTTTCTACAAACTGAACCATCTGAATGGCTAGAAAGAATAGCTGATAACATTTCAGTGACCAAGAGTGTTCAGTGTTAAGAGGTTTCTCTGTATTARCGACGAAAGACAAGAATATGAATAACTATGAAATATTTTAAGGGATTTTTGCGTAAAATGTATTGTATACATTATATTTCCAACAATAGTCTAAAATATACAAATATAACTTATAACAATA